GGAGCCATCATTGCAACATGGACCAATTGAACAAGAGATTTAATAGTAAAAGTTAAATAATGATCTAAGTGATTTTGATCCCTGCTTGGAATGAACTTTGTTCAGGCATATTGAACTTGCTTTCCGCTCTCTTCTTTTTGAGTGAAACCATTGGGCCAAATCTTTTCACAGCTCCTTTTCCCACCATTAGTGGCAAATAAGGTTACTCTAAGCCAATTTACAAGGTGAAGAGGTATTAGAGTTGACATTCTTCTTGCGAAAGAAAAGGAAAATTGTGCTTGTTAGCAGCCAACAAAGCAAGAATTCCCACTTTCTTGGTTGCTAGCAGCTACACAAGGGCCATTCAGTCTAGAAAGCAATACAGGATTTGCCATAAAAACCCATATTTCCCTATTTTCTTAACGAGAAATAAGCTAAAGAACTACCGCTGCTTTGGGACAAGGTGAATGCCCTAGATCAGGGGTAGTCAACCTTGGCTCTTTTATGACTCGTGGACTTCCAGAATTCCTGAGCCATTTTTTATTATTGTGGGTTTTTAGTATCGCCTGTTCACCGCCCTGAGTCCCGTAAGGGAGATAGGGCAGTATATAAATTTAATAAATAAATAAATAAATAAATAAATAAATCAGTGGGGGCTCAAATTGAACCAATAGACTATTCCCTCCTCTGCTTAAAATGGACATTCATAAATATATCAAATATATGTATGAGAGGTGGGGAACTACTAGCCTCTTTATGACTTGTGGACTTCAACTTGCAGAATTCCTGAGCCAGCATGGCTGGCTCAGGAATTCTGGGAGTTGAAGTCCACAAGTCATAAAAGAGCCAAGGTTGACCATCCCTCTCCTAGATTATTAATTCAGCTCTCTGCTACCAGAAAAATAAGCTTAGATTATTGCATTTGCATAGCTAAATAATCTACATTAAGACCCTCCTCAACTGAACTCTATAAACTCTCCTAAAAGGGGCCACCTCTACTTGCAAGCAACTAATTCAGCATGTGCTAACTCCCAATGTTAAGTTCACCAGAGTGCCGTGGCTCAGAACGCTCCCTGAAGGGAAGAGGCAGCAGAACCATAGAACAGACAGCCAGATTTAACAGAACAGGGCTGCCTGCACGCTAAGGCACTCTGCTTTCTACTGCTTTAAGTAAAGTGCTCTTTGAAGAGCGTGTGGAAGCTACAGCTGGCACAGAAGTTCTTAGGGCCCCTAGAGTAACCCATGTTACACCACTGCTTCATGAGCTGCACTGGGTGCCAGTCTGCTTCCAGGTGCAATTCAAGGTGTTTTGTCATCTCCTTTAAAGCTCTACATGGCATGAATACAGTCTACTTGAGGAACCGTCTCATTCTGCTGGGACTGGTCTGTCCCATCCATGCTGGCAGAGGAGGCATTCCGCAGATCTTGTCAGTCAAGGAATTTCAGCTGGCAGGATCCAGAAGAACTTTCTCTGCCATGACTCCTGCCCACTGGAACATCCTATCCCCTGAGATGAGATTGGCTCCTACCTTGCTGATGTTTTAAAAGAGCCTCAAGCCATGGCTTTGCCACATGGCTTGGGGACCCAATGGGGGAGTTCCATACCGAAGGCGGTGACTAATTAAAATTCAACTCCACCTGCCCCCCTCCCTATTTGTCTGGCTTCCTTCTTTGCCATCTTGTCTCCTTGGTTTTTATCTTTTAATGTTTTTATTTGCTATGTTTTTATAATGAACGATGTTAATGTTTTTCAATGTTTTTATGTTGTAAGGCACCCAGAGTTGTTAGATACAAGATGGGCAGCAAATACATTTTATAAATGAATGAATGAATGAATGAATGAATGAAATCTCTCTGTGAAAAATTTTCCTAATGGAGAAAAATCAGAATATAAAACCAGAGCAACTTTAATTACACAAACTAAAGGGTGCTCAGGAGATATGTACCTCAACAGTAGTGATTTTTTCCCAAGCTAGTTTGGGGAGGGAATAGGAATGAACCATACATCTAAATCCACCTTTGTGAACCATAGACCCTAAAACTGGATCTATGGCTCTCCACTACAAAGAGGGTTTTCTTTTGCTTGAACACATGCCAACCTAAATGAACCTACCAATCAATGTACACCTAAAATTAAAACACAACCATTATCAAAATGATCAAGAGACTCAGGAGTTTTACTTGTCCTCTTTATTCAAGTATTTCACAGCAGTTATATTACAAATTACAGTAATATGTTCAAAATATCCAGAATTTTAAAAAATTAAATAATTTACTTAACTAATGCAAATAAAGTCAAGATGCAAAAAAGCGTAACACAATTCTCTGAATACAACTTATAGGATCCAAGATTTATTATAGCTGATGAAGTAAATTTTATTTTATCAAAAAACAGACACACATGAATAACCCAAAAGACATCCCCACTGCTTAAGTAAACCAACGTACAATACAGAAAAAAAGCAGGTACAAGCTCCAATTCAAGCTTAATGTTGAATTTACATAAAAAGGGAGAGAACTGAGTAGCTGCACATACCCAAATATGACCTCCAACTTAACAAAAACTAAAAGAAACAAACGTAAAGAAAACATGGAATGTAAATTGTTAGCAAAACGAAAACAAAACAAAACCAATCACCCAGTTATCCTATAATAAATATATTGGCATAGGAGAAAACTCAAATAATAAGACTGAAAACACAAAACATAAATTAATCACAGGCTGAAATTCAAGCTTGCAAACACAATTAATTCCACAGCCATGGTTATCTTAGAGCAGTTTCATCATTATCCGCACAGAAATCTAGCCTCCGCTTGGCCTAGGATGTGGCCTTGCACAAGAGTTCATTGGTGATTCGTAACAAGATACAAGAATTGAATTTATTGCCAATTCTCTGTGGCAAAACAAGAACAAAAATACAAAGAGATGCGACCTGACAACATGAATAGAATAACAGGTTTAACTCTACAATTGCTAAGCTATTAATAAAGAAAAGCAATACATGGTTAGTCTGTTTTTGGAGCCAGAAGGATGGATATATAATTTTATTCATGTTGCCCACTAACACATTTATAGAAGCTAATTCTTCTGAAAAATCTATAACAATTAGAGGCAGTTCCTCACTTTTTTTTTTTAATCAACATTCAAAACTACAAATATTTTTCCCCTCAACTGATAAACTGGAAGCATTTTCAATTCCAGACTTGAATTTAAGATACTCTTTTGAAAATTATTTGACAACTATTTTAAAGGATTTAAACTTGTACAAATTTAACAATCTGTTAAAAATGTAGGCAGTTTGTCATCTCACAAGTGCTGCTGCTACTTGAACTAAAGAATAGTTGAACTACAATATCTTAAAAAATGCTGCAAGAACCTGAGACTTGCAAAAAATTGTTTTACCAGAAACTTGCTACAAAAAATCTGCTACATTTTATTTCTGAAAGTTTTATTAACAATCCTCATCATAATACAAAATGCTAATGGACTGACAGCAAAATAGCCTAAGCAGATATAATGGCAATAAATATTAACAGAAAAATGAGAAAGTCCCCCCCAATCAAGTTTCTAAAATGAAGTACTAATTTAAAACATTTCGATTTTAATCGCACTTTCCCACCTAAAAATACAGCATTTCTACAGAAGTCACGTTCAGAATAGTATCCCTCAATGCCTCTCAGGAACCCAAGAACCACCGAGTGAGCGAGGTTGGCCTGGGGAGGCTTAGCTAGAAGGACCAGGCTCGGATGTCAACTTGCAAAGAAAAAAATATGGGAAGGAACTACTGGTGTAGCCGATAGCCAGAGCCTGATTCTCAGCTGCGGCCGGCACGCGGGGCGATAAGTACCTTAAGCTTCAGCATGTAAACGGCAGCAGGGCAGATTACAACCTCCCGTAAACACTGTTGGTAACTGAAATACAAAAAAGCTGAGGTAGCTGAGCATCTCTGCAGTAGTCCAAGATTGGATGATTTCACTTTTGCTTCTCGGAAACAAAACACAATGGATTGCATATTTTTTTGGGGGGGCTGTACTCCCTTTACCTACAGCTTATGTTATAAAGGGATATTAGTTTATAGATGACACTAAGACCATGAGAAGCCATGGGACCGTGTTGATCTATCTTTACGTGTTGATCTGAAACAAAGCTAGGTGAAGCAGGTTGTTGGCTGCCTGGAATGTCCTCTTCCTTTAATTCTGAAAACAGGAAAAGTGTCTGAAAACGTTCAGCTATCACTTGAGCTCTAGGAGAACGGCAATATTTCAAGGGCTAATTCAGCGGTCCAAGAACTAGCCAGGGAAAGGCTACTTAGTCATTTCCTCTTTAATACTGTCCCAAAATGAATTGTGGTGAATCAGTTTGATCTAATTCATATGAAGATGAAGGACTGCAGGACCTACTTGCCTTTCCTGTCTATGGCCACCCAGCAAATCTTCGCTTTCACACTAATGGAAGTTTAGAAAGAAACCTGTTTTTAAGGACTTTGAACAAATAAAATGGAGAAACATCAACAACAACAAAAAAAAACAACAACCCCATACTACAGCCACCTTAAATATCCACAGTGAGACTTTTTTTTTCCAAGAGTATAAAATTGTTTTAGAAATGAATACATCTTATCATTTTGAGATAATATGAGATTAAACTTAATTTCATAATTTCTGGAGAGCAACAGAGAAATGTTAAAACATAATACTGGCTGCCATTTGACAGTGCAGGAACCTGAAACTGTTCTTTGGGAACACAGGCTTTTTAAAAATAACTAACTCTGTCATTGGCTACAATCCCAACGTTTTAATAACTTCCTCTTCCTCCTCCTCCTCCTTTTTCTCCACCATCACCACTGACTAAAAAGGCACATTGAAGGCAGCTCTAAAGAGCCTCATCTTCATATTATTGTATACCAAAAGTCAATTCCTTTGTACCACAATTCTTCACTGCCAGCTTTAAAAACGGGCTTCTGTCCATTACCTCAGAGAATTAAAAAAAAAGAAAAGCAAAAATATTTTTTTTTTTTTTTAGAAATTGCCCACTTAAATAATCAGATCTGCTCTATCCAGTTTGTGGGTGTTTTGTCAGCCTGCTCCGTTTTGCCTGAAACTTCTCATAAGATAACACATGTAGACAGCAGAAATGAAAGCAGTTTCTGTAGCACCAAAAAAATCTCTGTGTTGTGGCATTATATTCTTTATTTATATCAAGATACAAATATTTTGAAGTTCTGTTTGGTTCTTGTAGGCTGGCTGGTTTCAGTTACCTGAGACGATAGCACCAAATTCATAACAGAACGTGAGACCAAGAGTGAGCGTGTTAAGACCAAGGCTCTGCATATACTTGGTGCAAATGGAAAGCGAATGGCTCAGAAGACTGCTCTCCCGTGAGCAGCCAATGAAAAGACAAACCCCACACACCTCGGAGAGATGTGTTCACAGGAATGTTTCAAACATATCAACTGTTCTTTCCATTTCCTAGAAGGAAAAAACAAGATTATTTGATTATTCACCACCACTCAAGAGTAATATTAAACAACAACATTTCTCAACAGAAGTCTCAAGAAAGAGACTTCAGTCTCTTTAGGGCAGTGGTTCTCAATCTTTTTAATGCCGCGACCCCCAACCGGTTGTAAGTCGAGGACTAAACCGGTCGTAAGTCGAGGACTAAACCGGTCGTAAGTCGAGGACTACCCAACCAGTCGTAAGTCGAAGACTTTCCCTGCCTGGGAGCACCGCGCATGCGTGGTTCCGCCCCCTGCGCCGGCCGAGGCGTAGCTGGCAAGCGGCAGAGACGGAGCAGGCTGACCACCAGCTGGCCCAGCTCAAGGGAGGTAAGGCACCCGCCGGAAAAGGGGAAAAAAATGGCGGACAGCCTTGCTTAGCGACCCCCGTGAAATGGTCGATCGACCCCAAATGGGGTCCCGACCCATAGGTTGAGAACCGCTGCTTTAGGGTTCTAAGAACTTACATGCTCTTCATAGTAGTGCCAAAAGCTAAGGGACAATTTGCACTATAATTCGCATAAACTTTACTCAGACCAGAGCAGCCAACATTAATAAAAACGACAGCTTGTCTGGCTTTGTCTAGTGCTCCTTGAATGATGAATTAAACAGGACAGTAAGTGACAATCTTTACATTTTCCTCTTAGAATACTGAGATAAACTTTCTCATGAATATATTTTACGAAGGATGTAATTGGATGTTTTGTTTAATTTGTTTAATACTCTATTCCACAAAATCACTTCAAAGATACATGTTTAACCTTGAGAAATCACAGCCGTACCATTCCACCTTAGGAAACGTAGACAGTTATCAATCAATCATGGATCCATCTTACAATAATCACAATGGAATTAAAAGCTAAGTTAATTTTGCTATAGTAGAGCATTTCAAAAATCAATACCATTATAACATTTTACACTATCAAATTAAAAATTGACAGCCACTGATCGCTAAAATCTTACCCTTCTCTTCCAAATAGAGCTCAAAGTTTTTAAACAACACTTAATACAATATAAGCAATTTCTAGACAAAGTTGATACTGGAAGAAGTGCCTCTGTCCTGTATCAGTGGGGATGGAAAGATTTCCCCTTGTTGCGATTGTGGTGCTGATAGGCAAACAATTAAACATATTGTGCAGGATTGCCCACAATATGTGTTCCCTAGGAGATCTACATGAAACAACGCTAGAAGCGATTGCCTGGATAGCTGAATTGGACATCTAGTTATGAGGCCACTGCCATACCTCCTTAGAATTTTGGATAAAATTATTAGGACAATGTTTATATGTTTACTTCTCTTCTGTCATGTTCTCCTCTTATCTTCTATATAAATAAAAATGTAAATGTTCGTTTGTTCAAAATCTTAAATCTCCAAAAGTTCTTCACCGACTGCTTTGAAATTTTGACACAATGTTGCATTCGAATACGCACGTGTTTTTTATATACCTACTATTATATAGATGTCACACTTGTGACAGGTAAAAACATGCTTTTTTTGAAAAACAGCGCCATCTGTTGGACGTAAAAGCAACACACTTCTTTTCCATTTAACCAGACTGAGCCACAGCAACGCGTGGCCGGGTACAGCTAGTGCTAAATAAATATAAATAATACTGAATATGAAACAAAACAAGTCAAAACGTTTTTTTAAACCAAGCAAAGCAGTCTAAACACTTTTAAAATAACATTTGTTTTCCTGCTAGCAGAAATCTCCCTGAGACACAACTATAGCTGGGCTTGCCTCGACTTAGAGAAGATCAGATGAATCACTTACAGTACATTCTACGAACAGGTTGCAAACTTACTTGTACAAGTTGTGATTTGTCATAATCTTTACGATGCCGATAGATGCACTGATTAAGTAGAGAGTATAGCCTCTCCAGCTGGTCAACTGTCAAGTTGTCACTTTTCTTGACCAATAAATCGAGTAAATTCTATGAAGAGAAGTTGGAGGAAAGATTAAGATTAAGTTTGGAGGCAGTGTAACACTTGGCTTAATAACTGTTTTATGTGATATAGGATATTTATAATCTAAATTACTAGAAAATTTGTATTGACTGCCAACTATGTGCAGGATTGAACCATGAGGCTTTAAAGATTTGTTTATAGATAAGATATGGTAAGAAGAGATTTTTGTTGTTGCATTTTTAGAGAAAGTGATAAACTATGTTATCAAAATTGAAGTTACGTTTGCAAAGGAGTTTCTGGAAGGAGATGAAAGAGAAGATGGTAAAAAATAATTTGTGGGACATTATTTGATGGGGTTAAATTACAATATGGTAATTGTCTCTGGTAACTCTTAATGGAATCTTTAAAATTTGTTTATAGATATACGGCTTGGGAAGGAAACTTGGGAAGGAAAGATTTTTTTGTGTATTTTTACAAATGGTAAGTTATTGTGTAAGTAAATGAAAGGAATATGAAATTTACTTACTAGATTAAAGTTAAAATATTTATTATTTCTGGTAGTTCTTAATGGATTTTTGCCAATTGGAAAAATTGATTACTTATTGATTGCTAATATGGAATGAAGAAACTGTTAGAAATGTTAGAGAAGATAAGTTACTGAAATTGTTTGTATGTCTATTGATGAAGGGGGAAGTCATTTCTTTTTATACTGCTTCCTTTTTTTTCTTTTATATATTTTTTCTTCCTTTCCCCCTGCTTTTTCTCTCTGCACCTTTCTTTTTTGTATTTTTCTTTGTCTGCATTATTTATCTTTCTATTTTTAAACTCCAATTTTCAATTAAAATTATTATTTCAAAATTCTATATATTAAGAGATTCTCCATTTTTTAGATGAGCAATAATACTAAATTATAGTAATTTGATCCAGCTTGACCTTATGAAATACATTTAATGTATAGTGAAACAGAAGGGAACACATTTTTAATTTTGTAATAGATACTTGGGAAAAAGGGAAGAGAAGGAACAAAATGTTGGTATTAAGATTTAAGACTCTATATCCAGTTAACCTTACCATTAGCCTGACACGATCAACAACAACAGGAGGTACAGGGTCTAACTGTTCCTCTGGAACTTGCGTCAAAGCAATTTTACGAAGTTTCTTATTTTTTAATGTACCTGCAATAAATATAGATAAGATTAGAATAATTCTAAGAAGTTATCCAACTGCATTCCAAGCAATGGAGTTAAATTTATTAAATGGAAATGTCTAGACTTAAATAGTTCTCGCTAACTTGTTTTATAGAAAGAGGAAGCAATGACAACATGGCTTTTTACTTATTTTTCATCACTTCCATATATCTTGCCTTCAAAACATAAACATATTACAAGCAAAATATTTTGCATTAACACTGTGCACACTTTAATAATGACACAGAAGCGCTCCAGCCACCACAGAAGGACAAGCACAACTCTTCTTGCAAACATTCAAGTGCTCATCTTTTTTCGGGCTTCTGCGCAAAACACTTCTTCCAACCCAAATCATTTCTGAAATCATATTCTGCATTTGCCTCAATTATGAAATGAGGAAAAGAACAAAAAGTAATATATATTTCATGTACCGTCTTTATCTGATTCGGTTTCTTTAGTTTCCATATCTGTGCTTGGTGATTTCTTTTCGTTATTGCTGCACTGTGAAATCTCACTACCAGACTGTTGTAGTATATGTTCTCCTTCTGGACTATAATTTGAAGCCTCTGATTTTTGGGGGGAGTGGTCATCAGTTGTCACCACTTCTTTGGGCGTAGCCATGTCTGCAATGAGACTGACTTTCAACGGTTCACATTTGTCATACTGACATGGTGGAAGAGGTGTCCCTTCAGAGGCCTCACCATTTAAATGATCCCTCTGGGAACGCAATTCATCCTTAGAGCCCTCTTCTACATTTATCATAACTTTGTTATTTACTACCAGGGATTCATTGGAGCTCTCTTCTGTAGACGGAATGCTATTTTCTTTCCCGACTGTCCCATTATCAAGTCTCTGTTCTCCATGTATATCCATGACATCACATGATGACTCATCGTTTGTTAGAGAAAGATCTCCTGTTTCCTCTCCGTTCTCCTCAGTGCAGTCGATGCTTCCTTCAAGCTCCCCATTTTCCAGGAGTTTGTTATCGTCCCCTTGAGTTTCATCATCTGCAAATTTAGCATCATCTTCATCTTTTTTCAAATTGTTCACTTTCCTCTTTTTAATAATACCTTTCCCCCACTGTGAACGTCGTCTTGATTTCCTTCTCAATCGAACTGTATCATGAAAAGACAAAGTATCATTTAATCGACTTCAGTATTAGATATTTAAATTTTTACATGACATGTAGTGCTTTTTAAGCTATGAGTAAGCTATTAATAAAGTCAGGAATATTTGTAATATTAAAATACCACCTAGCATGGTGATATTAATGTCATCCAAGGTACCTTTGATTCTAAAAATGTTAAAAAAAACCCTGTACATGCATTAGTCCAAGCAAAATATTGCTGCAATCCTCTGAATTGAAATATTTTATTTTGCTGCCCCAAATGGAATGATCATTACTGCAGGACGGACTAACAAAGATGGAGGCAGTTTTTCTATTTTAAAAAAAATAGAATTGTAATAATTAGGTGTTGAAAACCAATCTACTAAGCAGAAATCAAAGAATATTACCAAAAATGTAATAGTGTAATTAAAAATGGATTAACTCTTGTCAAAGTTCAGTACCTTCACAGCCATGTTCTCTATTTTAAAGCAACTACAGACTTTTATAAATTTAACAGAGAAATAATGTCTTGTATGTAGCAAAACAGGGTAAGTTTTCAACCTCTGATACTTTACATAGCATTATCCCGTCTGTATGGTTCTATTTAAAATTCCATCTTGAGATGTGGGTGGAGAAGTAATTTGAAACTTAAAAGAGCTTTTCTTCAGAGAAAAAGAAGCCATTAACAGAGATCAAATAACCAAACCAATTTCTAATTTATAAAGTAAGATTCAAAGATATTACAGAATTTGAGAGTTTAAATTAGAATGAATCTCCTACAAGTATAATTGTGACTATCACATGGAAGTCCAATTAGGAAACTCTCTAAAACCAATGATCTTCATCCTACCTCTTCAGAATTTCAAGAAATTCCCATTCTGAGATATGAGGAGCTGAACTCAAACCTTTCTATATGTACCGTAAATTATATATTCTTCAATAAGCCAGAACAACTCATTAAAATCAGTACTAGCAATTTAAGCAATGCAACAAAAGAGAAGACATGAAGTGCATTCTGTTGGGCCAGCTCAGAAAAGACAAAATAATTTTGTATCTTGAGAATATTGGTTGTCATCTGCAAAGAAAGAACTATATTTCTGATGTGAAACTGGGCTAGCAATATTAAGAGAGAAAAAAGAAAAAGCACCTATTTCTAATATTTAGGGACCACAGTTTTAGAACTTTGTCCTTCCAAGTGGGCCAGGCTATACATGACTGAAATATCTGAAAGTCGTACGGGCTATTGGACACCGTTTACAGAGGATATTTCTGAAAATAGAATATTTTCTTTGGGCAAAGATAATTCTCAAGCCTTAAGGCAAAATAGCTGTCCATGAGGTTTCACCAATTTTCCATGCTCAAGTCATAATTCATCGTCAGATATAACCTAGAATTGGGCAAGTGAGATAAATAATTAAATAGCAACATCAAAAATGAAAAGTAATGTGCTTTTGACACCATCTACTGGCAATATTATGCAACAATCTAGGTTCTATAACTAAGTAAAATTTATATTTAGTATAGTTGTATTTGAAACATGTTTTAGTTCCCAAAATACACAATGTGCATTTCACCCAGTGTTGGGTGAAAATACCAATATTTTTCTCAAATATAAGCAAGAAAATATGTCTGTGTCTGTGTGTGTCTGTTAACTTGTGCTGTGGCACAAGGAAGCAACAATTAACGACTTCATAGCCAGCCAGCCAGCCTTCAATTAACAACTAAAAGCCACAACCGGGAACCAAGGAAATGCAATGGGTAAGAACAGCCCAGTGCACACATTAGAAGTTCCCTGATGATGGGCTACAGCTTGAGCCTGAAAGCTCGGAAGAATAAAGCTTTGGTCCCAGTGACTCAGATTGGATCCTGTATTAATTTCCTCCCAATCATATTGCAATTTCCCTATTGAAATGAGAAAATAAGTAGAACTTGAATTTCTTTGTTTAAAGATGAAAACATACCAAAAACATATGTAGTGTTTCTTCAAAGCCTATGGCCCCCAAGCAACCTTCAGACTCCATCTACCTGATACAGCTAAAATTTGGTGGCAAAATAGTAGAATTTGTTTTTACTTTTTAAACAGATTGTTTATAAACAGACTAAAAGTCCAAAAGTTTATTTGGGGCTTAACACATTTAGTTTGAGCAATTCTATCCATAAGCTCCAATAATGGGGGGAAAAACATCATCTACTCCCCACGATAACATTCTAATGCGCCTTGGGGTTTTTAT